GGTGGCACTGTGGGAGAGATGGGAAGTTACTGTGGTGGCACTGTGGGAGATGGGAGGTTACTGTGGTGGCACTGTGGGAGAGATGGGAAGTTACTGTGGTGGCACTGTGGGAGAGATGGGAGGTTACTGTGGTGGCACTGTGGGAGAGATGGGAGGTTACTGTGGTGGCACTGTGGGAGAGATGGGAGGTTACTGTGGTGGCACTGTGGGAGAGATGGGAGGTTACTGTGGTGGCACTGTGGGAGAGATGGGAGGTTACTGTGGTGGCACTGTGGGAGAGATGGGAGGTTACTGTGGTGGCACTGTGGGAGAGATGGGAAGTTACTGTGGTGGCACTGTGGGAGAGATGGGAGGTTACTGTGGTGGCACTGTGGGAGAGATGGGAGGTTACTGTGGTGGCACTGTGGGAGAGATGGGAGGTTACTGTGGTGGCACTGTGGGAGAGATGGGAAGTTACTGTGGTGGCACTGTGGGAGAGATGGGAGGTTACTGTGGTGGCACTGTGGGAGAGGTGGGAGGTTACTGTGGTGGCACTGTGGGAGAGATGGGAGGTTACTGTGGTGGCACTGTGGGAGAGATGGGAGGTTACTGTGGTGGCACTGTGGGAGAGGTGGGAGGTTACTGTGGTGGCACTGTGGGAGAGATGAAAGGTTACTGTGGTGGCACTGTGGGAGAGGTGGGAGGTTACTGTGGTGGCACTGTGGGAGAGATGGGAGGTTACTGTGGTGGCACTGTGGGAGAGATGGGAGGTTACTGTGGTGGCACTGTGGGAGAGATGGGAGGTTACTGTGGTGGCACTGTGGGAGAGGTGGAAGGTTACTGTGGTGGCACTGTGGGAGAGATGGGAGGTTACTGTGGTGGCACTGTGGGAGAGGTGGGAGGTTACTGTGGTGGCACTGTGGGAGAGATGGGAGGTTACTGTGGTGGCACTGTGGGAGAGATGGGAGGTTACTGTGGTGGCACTGTGGGAGAGGTGGAAGGTTACTGTGGTGGCACTGTGGGAGGGAGAGGAGGAAGGGTTATAGGGAAGGCAGTGTGGGAGAGAGATGAGTGGGAGTCATGATGATACACCTACGGATGTGTGTAAGCGGATAGGATAACAATACCAGTAATATAAACCACGACAATGAGTACAACATGAAGGGGAGATGACCATTCAAACCGGGGAAGACAGACTCTGTGCCAGCAGGAAAGAACATTTTTAGTCTGCTATCCTTTGGCCATAAGAGAGGTGCCACAAGCCACATTTAAGCGCCCTCCAGGTCATGAAAGCACAGACAGGAGACATCTCCCGTCCACGAGGCTAACCATAGCCCGTGCTTCTTGCCCCGCTCCTGTGCCAGGTAAGTTACGGGCTCACCATAGCCCGTGCTACTTGGAACTTGTTCCGAGTAGCTGAATCTATAACAACAACATCATGAAAGCAGCGCAACACCCCGCCGCGGAGAGGAAGCGTTCCGCGCGGGAACGCGTCCAGGATAAAATTGGCGCCAAGCTAAAGTCGAAAATTAAACACGGTAAATGTAATTAATCCAACACAAATAGTAACAAATCTTTGTATGAAGCCGCCAGTTTCCGTCAAGTATGAGATGAGGCAACGTCTAGGATCATTAACGTTGACTGGTCTCAACATTGTTGTTGTTTCAGATTTAGCTACTCAGAAGGAAGTGTCCATGTAGCACGGGCTATGGTGAGCCCGTCTAACATGGTCTACACCAGAACCAATAGATTTCTACCAACGAGGACACCTGGAGGAGGCAAGCCGTGGCCAGGTACACCACGCTGGTCCACGCCCTCACACAGCCCAAAGCTGCACCTCGGTAAACCTACTCTTCACATGCTAAACCTTTCATTTAAATTCATTGTGGTGATGCAGACCAACACCGTTACATTTCCCACACCGAGCTAAATATAGTCGTCCTAATAAATAGGAGCGGGGTAAATAAGGAGAGAGATGGGAGGCTACTGTGGTAGCCTACTGACACCTGTACCCCCCCCCCTAAGCCCAACCACTCTGGGTGGGGGGGGGCAGGTGTTTTTCATGCAGGTGCGCTGCGCTCTGCTGGGGAATTCATACAGCTGTACAGGTGTAGTCTAGGGAAAACACGGGCCACACAGCACCGCTCCTGTGCCAGGTAAGTCCACTACGGGCTCACCATAGCCCGTGCTACTTGGAACTTGTTCCGAGTAGCTGAATCTATAACAACTATAACAACGTGTGTTCTAGTTAGGACAGTAGAGATTTGTGCGCGTCTTCTCCGTTGTTACGCCTCGTTTATATTTAGTTTAGTTTCCGTTGTTATTTTCTTAGCTAAACGAACTAGAGGGTTCAGTTCCTGAACCGATTATGTGCCTCTGTAATCCTTTACACCACCGCCCACGGGATGGGTATGGGGTGCATAATAAAGAAAGTGAATTGTCTGCGTACTATACAATGGCAACATTGGCTTTAACACGTACAGAAAAGACTGACACTGTTAGTAATAGTCAAAACCCTTCTTTGTGAACACTGATTAACACAGTTTAACTTATATTCTCTAGAAGCATGAAGAGTAAGAATGAGTGAGTGAGTGAGTTATACACAGATAAAAGGGGGTATATAAACATTATATATCAATACAGACTATGAAACAATGATATAAATTGAATAAGATATTGGTAAATACTGTTTTCGAAGTAAATTTGTTGACATTACTACAAACTACAGGGTAACATAATAGACGTAGGATTCAAGGATTGTTTCAAGCGTAGGTTATACATATATATATGAACGGGTTTTGGTGGACATAAATATAGGAGTTGCCTCGCATAGGCCAACAGGCCTTCTGCTGTTCCCTTTATTATTATGTTCTTCTGTGCTCTATAGTGATCATTTGGCACATCACATATGCTTGACATTGAGTCAGTTAACTTGGCTCCTCAGGCAATATACCTTTACAAACCAGGAACCATTGAGAAAACTGGAATAAGCTGCACCAGCATGGAACCCGGCCATCGTCAAATATAAGACGAAAATAAAGGCGGACCAGAGACTTACCATAAGACTGGTAAAAGAAATAGGAGCTGGGAAAGAGGGAAATCGTTGATAGAAGTTAACCAGTCAACGCGAGAGCAGTAGATAAAGAAGAGACCTGACTATCTTGAGGTTATCTTGAGATGATTTCGGGGCTTTAGTGTCCCCGCGGCCCGGTCCTCGACCAGGCCTCCACCTCCAGGAAGCAGCCCGTGACAGCTGACTAACTCCCAGGTACCTATTTTACTGCTAGGTAACAGGGGCATAGGGTGAAAGAAACTCTGCCCATTTTTTCTCGCCGGCGCCTGGGATCGAACCCGGGACCACAGGATCACAAGTCCAGGGTGCTGTCCGCTCGGCCGACCGGCTCCCTACAACATACTTATGAAACATTTTGGACAGGGACAGTATATACGTGATTGAGACAGAACACGAACGACGTAGGTATAACAAGGAATGACAGAGACGGGCGGATGGAACAGGCAAGAAGAGAATGTTGAAGAATGAGAAAAATGAGAGTTGGATGGATAGATGTAGTGACTTGGGTAAAACCCTTGAGAAACATGTCTCATAAGGTGACAATTAACGTCTCCAGTAATCCACACTCTTGGATGACAACCTTTCATTGTTCCACCACACCCCCCCCCCCCAGCCTCCTTTGTCACCAACACCACCGGACACTTTACCTAACATCATTGTTCTGTTCAGCTCGGGTTACTTGGCCTTGTGTCACGCCCTCTGGTGGAATCAACTCTGACACTCTCTCTCTCTCTCTCTCTCTCTCTCTCTCTCTCTCTCTCTCTCTCTCTCTCTCTCTCTCTCTCTCTCTCTCTCTCTCTCTCTCTCTCTCTCTCTCTCTCTCTCTCTCTCTCTCTCTCTGGCAACGCACTTGATGTTCTGTTTGATAACATAAAAGCCTTTAAAAGCAAAGTGAAAACTGTTATACGTGATATTGACAACAACACTTGTAAATATTTTCAAAACTAAACAAAAAATGACAGATCTTGAAATTCATGATAATACAGCCATTCACATCCGGCAAATGTATATCTTACAGCTTCATTTATTCAAGTACTGAACAATCTTATTTAAGATTAACAAAGTTCCGCTCGAAATTAATAAAGTTTGCAAATAGTGTAACATTAGACAATCTAAATTTGGGAATGTTGTAGTAGATTATTTTGTATGGAACTGCAGACGATGAGTCACAATAACGTGGCTGAAGTATGTTGACCAGACCACACACTGGAAAGTGAAGGGACGACGACGTTTCGCTCCGTCCTGGACCATTGTCAAGTCGATTGAGAATGGTTCAGGACGGACCGAAACGTCGTCGTCCCTTCACTTTCTAGTGTGGTTTGGTCAACATATTTTCATCGACATGCGAGTTAGTTTTCATTGATGAACTCTGGCAAGTGTAATTACGAATTATAGATGAATGAGTCACTTGAAATTGGGATCATACCTGGACATAATGTAGTTTAGATCTTAAGACACGCGGGTTAAGAAAGGTATATATATTTGATGTAATAGTGCATCACAAAGTGATATGAGAAGGTAGTGAGGTGTGGTAATTGTGATGGTGCTAATTACCTACTAACGCTACCAACGATGGCTATACTAATTGTTATAAAAATGATGAATGACACTATTAACTGTTATCACAATCAGTAAATGCGAGAGTACAGATATCTCATGACTGATGGTGAACAAGTATGACACCGGTAATAGTCATGGACATAAGAGCGGCGCTGATTGGCTGTAAAAGGTCATTACAATGATATAATAGTTGAGGAGAGAATCGGACCAGTTTACTGAACAAAAAATTGTACCACTTACGGGCTATTCATGCCCGTGCCACCTCTTGGGTGGCTTAATCTTTACCAATTAATCAATCAGAGCAGTTTACTGCAACGGCGACAGACACCAGTCATCTTGTAACACAATTGGTCACGGTTTTCCTCTTGGTCGAACCCATTTAACTGTGTGGGAACAATGGCCTCTTGTGGGAACTAGTGAAACTGTGCTCACGGTCAGAGAGAGAGAGAGAGAGAGAGAGAGAGAGAGAGAGAGAGAGAGAGAGAGAGAGAGAGAGAGAGAGAGAGAGAGAGAGAGAGAGAGAGAGAGAGAGTTGTCCATGAGAGTTAACTAAATGATCAGCATTACTAACACGGGCAAGGTGACGTTACATCACAATGGGGAGAGAGAGAGAGGTGGGGGTAGTGGTCACGGGAGTGAGTGCTCCAGGTACAGGGGAGCCAGTGTTGACCTTGTCAACAGTAAGGACGAAGGTAGGGGGAGACGTTGGTTCTTCCTATTATGAAAGTGAGTCCTTGGGGGTGGGACTACCTTGGTAGAGGTATAACAGGCACTGTTTTGTACTCCTTATAACACACACCTTCCATCATTAGTCCACACTAAGCGTAATGTGCACTCCAACACTTGCTTTGACTCTCCTTCATGCTAGCTAGTTAGTACCCAAGGTTGATGACTTATTGTTGACCTTAAGGAAATGCTTAACTTAACCCTTCCTTAAAGGCAGAGAGGCAGAGGGTAAGCCAAGACTTGTCAACCCCCCCCCCCTCCCTCCCTCTAAATATAAGGGGAATAGCTAATCTACTTAAAATCGCAAGTTCGAATCCTCGTCACGGCCCTTGTGGATTTGTTCATTTGATGCATCACGTTAGTGTGATCTCTGTGTGTAATAAAGCTAATCTACTTCTTTGGGTATTCAAAAGGGAACTTGATAAACACTACCAATGCTGCCGCGTTCAGGGGCGTATAACAGCCTGATTGATCAGATGATTTACTACAAAGGATGGGTCAGAAACTGGGCCGTGTGGACATTGATCACGTGACCCACATCAAAATAACACCAAGGTTACCTCTTCACTAAACCCGCCTCAAAGCAACTTCAAACACAACTTCTGTCCACCTTCGAATATTTTTCCCACTTGATCCTAAGTCTTAAAATTTTGAAGCGCCAATTGGCTGGCTTGTTACCACCTTCTACAATTATCTACCAATTAGCGCAGGTCTATAAAGGTCTACAGAATATGGTTGAATTCCGGTCAAAACTCACCAGACGTTTCCATGATGTGTGAAGGATCGTTTGGCACTCACATAAGTTATTGTTCTCGGCTTACCGGGCACCTGTTCCACAATCATAAATCATGCCCAAAGTCGTTTAGCTTTATCGTGACTGCTGGCAATAGCTTGCCGTCTATTAACTAGTGTTAAAGAAGCGAGGAAGACCAGACCACACACTAGAAGGTGAAGGGACGACGACGTTTCGGTCCGTCCTGGACCATTCTCAAGTCGATGCACACACCTTACATAAGTTTAGCCACGTTATTGTGAGTGATCGCGTGCACAGGCGAGGAAGAGAGTAGGGAGGTGGTGGTGTTACCTGTGGTGATGGAGGCGGTCCAGGTGGGGTAGTCGTTAATAGTGGCATTAGTGTAGTAGAGCTGGAACTCGTACTTGGTGCCAGGGAGGGCCCTGGTGAGCTGGACGCCCTCAGACACCTGGGTTGGGGTGAAGGTGGAGTTCGGGGGCGGGTTACCCTGCGGCGGCCAGTAGTCGAGGCGGTAGTACCCGTCCTGGTCCCGTACCCGCTCAGCCGGGATGCGGATCACAACCTCGGCACTCACGCTCTGAAAAACACAATAACACAAACTCTTAAACCACAACAACAACAACCAATACAACACACACAGCACCGCTCCTGTGCCAGGTAAGTTACGGGCTCACCATAGCCCGTGCTACTTGCCCCGCTCCTGTGCCAGGTAAGTCCACTACGGGCTCACCTGTGCTTCCTGCCTTACCTCTTCCCCACGACCAAGCCAGCCTCACCTCTGGGGCCAGATTCACGAAGCACTTACGAACCTGTACATCTTTCCTCAATCTGTGGGAGGCTTTGTTTACAATTATTAAACAGTTAATGAGCTCCGAAGCACCAGGAGGCTGTTTATAACAATAACAACAGTTGATTGGCAAATTTTCATGCTTGTAAACTGTTTAATAAATGTAACCAAAGCCGTCAAAGATTGAGGAAAGATGTACACGTTCGTAAGTACTTGCGTAACTGCTGAGAGAGCAGCAGGTCCTTAGTACGGGTGAAGGGTGAAGGGATCTTCATCCATGTGAAGACAATAAACTTGACGGCCAGATAGCTGGTCCGCCCACAGTTCTCGACAAGGACACTCAAGGCATCTGTGTCCGTGCTGTCCATCCGTTGTGTCCGTTGTTCATCTCCATGTTGTTGTTATCGGGGAAGCCTACAACCTGTCACTATGCTGTTAGAACCAACATCCAGCACACACACACATGCTCTCCCCAAACACACAACACAAACATTCTACCACAAGCTCACTCTCCGCTTCGTTCAATACCGCACTACTCTCGAACTCTGACCTCTATATCTCCGCCTCGTGCACTCCCGCACTGTGTGATCTTATAACACCCCCTCCCTCCCTCCCCCAGCACCATAAACACCCTCTCCTCCCACAACACTTATTTATTTATTTATTTATTTATTTATATATATATATACAAGAAGGTACATTGGGATTGTGAGGATACATAGTATAGTAATTACAATCTTGTAAAGCCACTAATACGCGCAGCGTTTCGGACACTTCACAAACACTTCCTTGCCCGCTTATTTCACTCTATCTGACAAGAATTTAATAACTCTGCGATAGATAAGGTAGACAATAGTGCCGCTATTGATAGATAAAATCAAGGCAAGTGCCGCTGATAATCTCCCTTCATAACACACTTTAGGATTGTGTTTACCTGCCCTGTTGACATGTTGTCATGAAGGATGCATAACATCACAGGCGGTAACACCATTGTCACTTCAACTCCTGCAATTCGTAATGTGCAAAATTGTATATTTTCAGATGTGTTTCCCAAGTGGGCGTGTGAACACGTGCCGCCGTGAGCGTGGCAAATTGATAAAGGAGTTCTTGAATTAGTTTTACGAATGGTGTAAGAGAGCATGTTACCCGTGAGTATTCATTCATATATATACAGTATATGCAGTACAGATAGTAAATAGTTGCATATGTAAAATGTGTAATGAGAGTGAAGGTGTTACCTAATGAGACTTGATGGGTGGACGAGCAGACAGACAGACAGACAGACAGACAGACAGACAGACAGACAGACAGACAGAGGCAGCAACACTACACACCATAATACTTCCGCCACCAACGGGACGTGCAGCACACTTACCAGGGCCACAACCTCACCCGCTACACCTCCCACACCTGCACTCACACACCAAACCTCTCTTTATAATAGGGACCTAGCGGCTGAGTGGACAGCGCTCTAGGGTCGTAGTCCTAACGGGCCCGGGTTCGAGTCCCGACCGAGGCGAAAACAAATGAGCAGAACTTCTTTCACCCTGAAGTTCCAAGAGACCCAAGTGGCATGCCAGTTATTGTATTAACTCACAGTTGGAAAGACGGGGCTTGGGAGCTAATACTCAGCCTTTCAAGCACAACTAAGTGAGCACACATACACAGTCGGGTTATTATAGCTGTGAATAATTTCTCTCTCTCTGTCTCTGATGTGTGTGTGTGTGTGTGTGTGTGTGTGTGTGTGTGTGTGTGTGTGTGTGTGTGTGTGTGTGTGTGTGTGTGTGTGTGTGTGTGTGTGTGTGTGTGTACTCACCTAGTTGTGCTTGCGGGGGTTGAGCTCTGGCTCTTTGGTCCCGCCTCTCAACCGTCAATCAACAGGTGTACAGATTCCTGAGCCTATTGGGCTCTATCATATCTACACTTGAAACTGTGTATGGAGTCAGCCTCCACCACATCACTGCCTAATGCTTTCCATTAGTCAACCATTTGTTGTGCTAGTGTGTGCTAGTGTGTTTGTGTGTGTGTGTGTGTGTGTGTGTGTGTGTGTGTGTGTGTGCGTGTGCGTGTGCGTGTGCGTGTGTGTGTGTGTGTGTGCGTGTGTAGCAAACCAGACACCTGGGGTGGCCACACCACCATAACGTTCAAACCTAGATGCACCTGGCTGGCAGCCGTCCCACACAATGAACTACAAACACTCGCACGCACGCACACACACGCGCACACACATATGCGGGGCCTCGCGGCTGAGTGGACAGCGCTCTGGGGTCGTAGTCCTAAGGGTCCGGTTTTGATTTCCGGCTGAGGCAGAAACAAATGGGCAGAATTTCTTTCACCCTTATGCCCTTCTTCACCTAGCACTAAATAGGTACCTGGGAGTTAGACAGCTGGTAAGGGGTTGCTTCCTGACGATGTGTGTGTGTGTGTGTGTTAGAGATAAATATATGTAGTAGATATACTAGAAGAAAAATAGATTGGTTAGAAAGGCGGGGTCCAAGAGCTAATAGCTCGATTCTGCAGGCACAAAGAGTAAATACAAATAGTAAACACCCACACACACACACACACACACACACACACACACACACACACACACACACACACACACACACACACACACACACACAGGTGTAGCTGGTAAGGTGCTCCAGTGGATAAGGGAGTATCTAAGCAATAGGAAGCAGAGAGTTACGGTGAGGGGTGAGACCTCCGATTGGCGTGAAGTCATCAGTGGAGTCCCACAGGGCTCTGTACTCGGTCCTATCTTGTTTCTGATATATGTAAATGATCTCCCGGAGGGTATCGATTCATTTCTCTCAATGTTTGCGGACGATGCTAAAATTATGAGAAGGATTAAAACAGAAGAGGACTGTTTGAGGCTTCAAGAAGACCTAGACAAGCTGAAGGAATGGTCGAACAAATGGTTGTTAGAGTTTAACCCAACCAAATGTAATGTAATGAAGATAGGTGTAGGGAGCAGGAGGCCAGATACAAGGTATCATCTGGGAGAGGAAATTCTTCAGGAGTCAGAGAAGGAAAAAGACTTGGGGGTTGATATCACGCCAGACCTGTCTCCTGCAGCACATATCAAGCGGATAACTTCAGCGGCATATGCCAGGCTGGCCAACATACGAACGGCATTCAGAAACTTGTGTAAAGAATCATTCAGAACTTTGTATACCACATATGTCAGGCCAATCCTGGAGTATGCAGCCCCAGCATGGAGTCCATATCTAGTCAAGGATAAGACTAAACTGGAAAAGGTTCAAAGGTTGGCCACCAGACTAGTACCCGAGCTGAGAGGTATGAGCTACGAGGAGAGACTACGGGAATTAAACCTCACTTCGCTGGAAGACAGAAGAGTTAGGGGGGACATGATCACCACATTCAAGATTCTGAAGGGGATTGATAGGGTAGATAAAGACAGTCTATTTAACACAAGGGGAACACGCACAAGGGGACACAGGTGGAAACTGAGTGCCCAAATGAGCCACAGAGATATTAGAAAGAACTTTTTTAGTGTCAGAGTGGTTGACAAATGGAATGCATTAGGAAGTGATGTGGTGGAGGCTGACTCCATACACAGTTTCAAGTGTAGATATGACAGAGCCCGATAGGCTCATGAATCTGTTCACCTGTTGATTGACGGTTGAGAGGCGGGACCAAAGAGCCAGAGCTCAACCCCCGCAAACACAACTAGGTGAGTACAACTAGGTGAGTACACACACACACACACACACATACCTAACATACCACTAGACCTTATTCATCTTTGTGTTTAACAAAGAGGCACAAACAAAAGTTTTTTGATAAAGACTCCACGTTGGCGCCGCAAATTTCCCAATTGATGTGTCACATATGATATACAAGGTCTTGAATAACTCTATTTAGATTTCTGAATGAATTTCTAATATTGGCCTCTCTTGCACGTGCGTCTGACGATATCCGGCTGATGTGGGGAGAAAGTTTCCATGTAATATCAACCTTATATATGTCCCGCTTTCAATGCTGTGCACTTACTTGAGCTAAACTCTAGTAGCCACTTGATGGACCAGTCTTCCAGCTAGGTGAGGTCATATTGTTCGTCTCGTAGACTTCCTCTGTATTTATCCTCGTCATAAGTGTGATATTATCAGTGAACTTTGGAGGTGATGACGTCTAACCCTCACCCACAGGTCCTTAACATAGATCAGAAAGTTTTTTCTACTAGAAATGAAACTTTTTTACTATTACTGGCCGGTGAAACCCCATTGGAATCCTGCCGTTGTTGTTGTTGTTTCAGATTTAGTCACTCGGAACGAAGTGTCCATGTAGCACGGGCTATGGTGAGCCCGTAATGAATCCTGCCGTTACTGTGAGGGCGGTGAGCGTTAGGTTCTGTCTACCACAGACCCGGGGTCATACAGTTACTAAGCTAACTATTATACATACACTTTCTTCTCTCCTCCATGTGTGAAATGGAGTGGAGGCCTCGTGCGTGGAGAGTGGTATGGGAACCATCACAAATCCACTTTCGCCAGCCACTTCAAGTACCAACATAAGCCAGTCAACCAACCAAGCCCCGCGGCCCACACGCCCGCCAGCTTGTACACGCGCGTGGGGAGAGAGTGTGCGTGTGTGTGTGTGCAGCCCCAGTTGTCACTAAGTTGGAATATGCCGAACTGTTGTGTGTGTATGCTGGTGCGTGCATTCTTGAGTGTGTGGCTCGTGATGGATAGTGTGAGTGTGTAGGCTCGTGGTGGATAGTGTGAGTGTGTAGGCTCGTGGTGGATAGTGTGAGTGTGTAGGCT